CGGCGGCAGGGAAGGCGCAGCCGAGTGGTCAGGGGAGGGAAGGCCAAGGAGGTGAAGTGCGGACATCGGCAGTGGGTGCTCCTGTTGTTGCTGCTTGTTGCCGAGACCAGAACCTCCAGCTGCACCACGGCTACCTCCGGGACACGCCACACGGACATCCCAAGAGCGAGAACCCTCTACAACACCAGTGCCACCCCCAGGACCATCGAGACGAGTTGTCACAGGATCGAATGTGTCGAGGAAAGGTTGCACTATCGATTGATACAAGGCGCTTTTATACTTCCATAGTACATCAGGTAACCAGGTTTATCCTATGCAAAGGGAATAGACCCTTCTAGAATATAGAATCACCCTGCGTATAGCCACGCGAGGCTATTGGCTTTAAGGGATTACGGTAGGATTACGCTAGATATAGCGCCCAGTACATCCCAAGCCTGGTCGGTGATATAAGTATAATAGCAGGATAAACCAAAGGATAATGGAAAAGGGAAAGTAGGAAACCAAATAAGATGGGATAAACATAGAAATGAAATAGGAAGGAAATAAGGAAAGGGACAAGTGGTGTAACGGGGTCGTACTCTCACACGAGCCATGACAGTAACCCCAGGACAAGCACCCCTAGAACCAGCACCCCCATAACGAGATCCCTCTCCAACATTGGTGCCACCATCATTTCCGCCGGGACAAGCCACAACAGTAACCCCAGGACTAGCACCCTCCTCAACGCCCGCACCCCCAGAGCTCGCGGACGGCTGCTGTTGCGGCTGCGACGATGACGGCGGCTGTTGCGACGGTGGACAAGGAGACAAAGGGGCGGAAACAGGCAGCGAGAACTGCGCCGCAGGGCCATCAGAGTCAGCCGACTCCTCGACCGGGACAATCGACGGAATGGGAGTGACGTGAGACACACCAGACGGGGAAGGACGGGGAGGAAGAGGAGCAGGGGCTACCGGGGAAGTGGGAACCAAAAAAAGGGGGGGGGGAACTGGGAGACCTCGATGGGGAAAGCGGTGGTACAAGGAGACAGACTTGTCAAACGTGAGCAAGGCAGCCCCAAACATGGAATGTGGACGCGTCACAAGGTAACCCAGTCCAGAGAAGGGTCGGCGAAACCTGCGGCCGCTGGGAGTGCGGCCACAGGTTAAGCTAGTGAGTGGCGTAGTGAACAACGAATGGCCACAGAAAATGGGGTGCAGCGACATGGATCATGGAGGTACGAGCCACCTCCATGACCAAACCGATGCGTCGCTCAGCGACCCCATTCTGCTGTAGGGAGTCCGGTAGGGTGTACGACTGGGTGATGTCCTGTGCACGACAGAACTGTCCAAGCCGACCAGAAGCAAACTCGCCACCACAGTCAGAGTGGAGACACAGCATAGGGAGACCGTGGTGGACGCGCGCAGCGATGAACCATGGGATAAGAACGTCAGGCACGTCGGCCTTATGCTCTAGGGGAAACACCGTGGTGTAGCGCGTTTAGTCGTCGACAAGCACTAGAAATTAGTGCTCTCGACACGACTCAGGGACGCGGGCTGGGCCCTCGAGTGGCGCGAGGAGGAGTGAGGAGCACGGCGCTGCCGGCCCTCGATGCAGGGCGTGCATGGTGGCACAGGCGAGGGAGGGAGGGCATGGAGCAACGCATGGAGACCTAGGACAAGACCGTGCTCGGACATGTGACACAGACGCAGGAGTGCGGGGTGACCGAGGCGGTGGTGCCACTGAAGTGACGGGTGCGAGCAAGCTGCAATGACCTTGGTAGATGCAAGCACCTGGGGGGACGCCCTCACCAGGGGGAACGCAGGGTCAAGCATAAACAGGCCAGACACCGGGTCGAAAGAACGTGATGAGAGGGGAACCAGTGGCTAGGTTAGCGATAGTGGGGAAGGCAGCAATATTTGGGAACAGCATGGGAAGGATCAAGCAGCCAGCGGAGGCGGAGGCAGGCATGGAGTAGCGCGCAACTACGGCCTCTAAGAATTCTTTGGCGTTCGCTATAGCGGTAAAGCGCGGACGCTTAGACAGGGGGAGGGCATGACTAATGGCAAGCTGCGCTAGGACATCGCGCGACTCCGAGACAGCGCGAGCAAGCGAAACAGCCGGAAAGGCCTCACGCTCAGCAGCGGTGGGGGCATCAGGGAGGGCAGCAGGCGTGCAGGGGTGGGGAAGCAAACCATCGACATGAACAGCCATGGAGTAACCGTCCTGGCGCTAACCTGTCAGGTGACGACGAGGGTTGACAAGCCATGCATCGAAGTCGATCGCCCGCCCCTCCGCGTCCAGGCGGAGCACAACGTCCGCCATCGCACGACCTCAGCTACACGGCGGCACGGTGGCACGGCGACACGGCGGCACGGTTCCATGGCAGGACGGCGGCACGGCAGCACGGGGCACGGCGGCACGGGGACACGGTGGCATGGTGCACGGCAACACTGCGGCACGGCGGTACGGCTCCACAGTAAGACGGCGCCATGGCGGCACCGCGGCACCGCGGCATAGCGACACTGCGGCACAGCGACACTGCGACACGGCGGTGCAGCGGGAAGCTGGGGCTGGCAGGAACGGGGGCCGGCTGCGGTAGGGGCGGCGAGCGAGCGGAGGCCGGTGAGCTAGGGCCTACGAGCAAGAGTCGGCGAGGTGGGGCTGGCGAGCTAGGGCCGGCGGGCTCGGGCTAGTGTGGCGCACGAGCCTAGCAGGGCGCGAATGAGGCCAGCGGGGCGTACGGGGCCAGCGGGGCGCACGGGGCTAGCGGGGCTTGACGGGGCCAGCGGGACGCGAACGGGGCCAGCGAGGCGTACGGTGCCAGCGGGGTGCACAGGGCTAGCAAGGCTCGATGGGTCCAGCGGGGCGCGAACGGGGCCAGTGAGGCATACGGGGCCAGTGGGGTGCACGGGGCTAGCGGGGCTCGATGTGGTCAGCGGGACGTACCGGGCCAGCGGGGCGCACGTGGCTAGCGGGGCTTGACAGGGCCAGCGGGGCACGAACGAAGCCAGCGGGGTGTACGGGGCTAGCGGGGCGCTAAGGGGCTAGTGGGACGCTAAGGGGCCAGCGGGGCGCTAAGGGGCCAGCGAGGCCCTAAGGGGCCAGCGGGGCGCTAGGGGCTAGGGTGGAAGCGGGTGAGCGGACCTAACCTAATTGGATACCATCTTAGCGTAGTACGAATTGAATGGAATGAGGTGGTACAAGGGGATATAACCTAAGGGGTTGTACTCTATATAAGCATGCACCTAGCTAGCCTATAACATATACAGTTATATGTTGACATCCTTGGCCGGTACAAAAAGTCTACGTATCGACCACGTCAAAGGAGGTAGCCATCCTTTGCACTTTGAATACGGTAGACTGCTTCTGGTATTGCATTTACTGCAGAACCGTCACTGCTGTTTGCCCTTGGTTTTCTTGGTGGTTGTGATGCAGCACACATAGAACAACCACTTGCACAGTTCAGGTAGCCAATATATGTTTGTATATGTTATAGGCTATATAAGTGCATGCTCATAGAGGGTACAATACCATAGCACAAAACCTCCCTGTATGGCACAATCTAGTTCATTGCGTTATTTGAACATGGTATCATGCTAGGTTAGGTCCCCCTCCCCCCCTACGCTTCCATCCCTAGCCCTAGCCCTAGCCTTAGACCTCACCCTAGCCCCCGCCCCGTCACGTCGTGCTGGCCTCGTCACACCGCGCTGGCCCCGTCCTGCCGCGTCGTCCCCGTCCCACCGCGTCGGCCCCATTCCGCCGCGCCGACCCCCGTCACGCCGCGCCGGCCCCGTCACGCCGCGCCGGCCCCGTCACGCCGCGCCGGCCCCGTCACGCCGCGCGGGCCCCGTCACCCCGTGCCGGCCCCGTCATGCCGCGCCGGCCCCGCTCGACCGCGCCGGCCCCGTCACGCCACGCCAGCCACGTCACGCTGCGCCGGTCCCGTCACGCCGCGCCGGCCCCGTCACGCCACGCAGGCCCTGTCACGCCACGCCGGCCCCATCACTCCGCACCGGCCCCATCACGCCGCTAGCTACCGCTCTGCTAGCACTGAGACTCAGCTTCTTGTACTGCCTCCCCCCCTCGGTGCTACTCTCTGCTTCCTTGCCACGTGCCTTCCTGGCCGCCTAGCCATTGCCCGCGACCAAATCATTGCCCTCCACCCTGCTGATCTCACCCTCATTGACTTGTCACTACCCTGACCGCGATAGAGACTCGCCAGCGCACTATCGTTCAGTCGAGCGGTACAGCGGCGGTCCCTATCTTCCAGGGCTGTGCTCCCTCCCAATGCACTAACTTTGACGTCTTTGCCACTGTTGCTGAGACAGCCCTTGCTGCTGAGACCGCTGCGGCGGCCTTGGCGCAGTCTCGTCAGGGTAGGGGACACCGGGCCCAGGGGAGGCGTGGCGGCGGGAGGGGTGGCGGGGGTGGCGGAGGTGGCGGAGGTGGTGGAGGGGACGATAGTGCAAACGAGGGGACCAGGGCTGGTGCCCCGGAGCAGCACCAGCAGCAGCAGCCTCAGCAGCAGCAGCAGACGTCGCAACAACAGAAACAGTCGCCGTGGGGACCCCCACTGCCGTGGTGGATTGGCGGTGCTGGTGGTGGTGGGGGGCGTAGGTCGGTGTCGGGTGGCGGCTCCAGTAAAATCCCCTGCCAGTACCAGCTTCAATCCGGCCCCCACCGCAGCACCGTCTGTGACCGCCCCGGTCACACCGCCTGTCACAGGATCGAATATGTCGAGGAAAGATTGCACTATCGATCAGTACAAGGCGCTTTTATACTTCCAGAGTACATCAGGTAACCAGGTTTATCTTATCCTAAGGGAATAGACCCTTCTAGAAGATAGAATCACCCTGCGTATAGCCACGCGAGGCTATTGGCTTTAAGGGATTACAGCAGGATTACGCTAGATATAGCGCTCCAGTACATTCCAAGCCTGGTCGGTGATATAAGTATAATAGCAGGATAAACCAAAGGTTAATGGAAAATAGAGAATAGGAAACCAAATGAGATGGGACAAAAAGAGAAATGAAAAGAGGAAGGAAATAAGAAAAGGGACAAGTGGTGTAACGGGGTCATACTCTCACACTTCCCCCCCTCAAAGCTGGATGGTGGAAGTAACACCCTGCTTGACAAGGTAGTCATGCAGAGGACGACGGGCGTTACCCATGTCGAACTCAGGTACCTAGCTGTCTTTAGAAGGATCATAACCCTTCCAACGGATGAGAAGCTCCACGGTGCCATTCCGACGACGGCGGTGTGCGAGCACAGACTCGACCTCGTACTCGGGTTCATTTTGGACGAGGACGGGCGGTGGCGGCGGTGGTTGGCGTCCGACAAAGATCGTGTTTGGATCCCGATAGGGCTTCAGAAGTTGGACATGGAAGGCGTTGTGAATCTTCCAGGTTGCTGGCAGACGTAAGCGGAAGGTAACAGGAGTGACCTGTGCTTCAACGAGAAAAGGCCCGCAGAAGCGAGGTCAAAGTTTAGATGGGAGATGGCTGATGTCAAGGTTGCGGGTGTCAAGGAGTACCTGGTCTCCCACAGTAATGGTGTGGTCGTTGCGATGGCGGTCGGCCTGGTGCTTCTGTTGTTGTTGAATGTCAAGGAGGCGCTTGTGGGTTCAATCCCAAAGCTGATGCATGGTTGTGATAAAATCATGTGCAGGTTGGACTGTAGCTGATGCTGTCGGTTTTTGTGGTGTGAGTGGGTGGCGTCCGTAGCAGAGGAAGAACGGCGTCTGTCCAGTAGCGGCATGTGTAGCATTGTTGTAAGCAAACTCTAGTAGTGTTTGGCGATACCGGTGAGCGTCTTGTTGCTACCGAAGTGTCCGGCGTAGAGGACGTCGTGGTATTCTTCGAGTAGTAACTGGCGCAAAGGAGGGTAATTTGGTACCCAGAACTTCATTGACCCTTTCCGGTACGCGATACCACTATCCCACTATAGTAGATGTCGCTTTTCTGCCAAGGGAATTTCGGGGTCGATGGCGTACCCGTGTGTGAAGAGTCCCTTGAGGAGTGGATTCATCCCTTCGATCTGAATAGCGGCAACGTGTGCAGGTCGGCTGAGAGCATCTGCTTTGTTTTTGTGGCCGGGCTTGTACACGATGTCGTAGTGGAAGTGTGTCTCGAGGAAGTCGATCCACCGAACCTGCCGCCTGGAAAGGTTGGGTTGTGTCTTCAAATATTTCAGGCTGCAGTGGTCGGTGTAGACGGTTGTTCTTCGTCCTTTGAGATAACATCTCCACGCTTTGAAGGTGATGACGATGGCAAAGGCCTCTTTGTCGTGTATTGGGTAGTTTAGTTCTGCCCCGTGCAGTTTCTTGCTGAGGTAGGCGATTGGTTGCAGTCCATTCCCCTGGTCTTGCATTAAGACTGCTCCCACTGCCTGGTCGCTGGCGTCAGCTTCGATGACGTAGTCGCGTTCGGGATCTGGCAAGATGAGTACTGGTGCGGACGTGAGTGCTTGCTTCAGCTGCTCCACGGCTTCCTGGTGCTTCGGCTTCCATTTGTAGGGCGTGTTCTTCTTCAGCAGACTCGTGAGTGGTGCTGCGATTTTCGCATACTGTGGCACGAACCTGTTGTAGTAATTGACGAAGCCTAGGAGCTGCTGCAACTCCTTCAAGTTCTCGAGTTACTCGCTCGAACTCGTTTCGCCACGCTTTGCGATCCGCTCGCATCTCCTCCTGAAGGGCTGCGATGCGCGCGAAGAGCTGCTGGGTAACCTCGGTGTTGTCGAAGGTTGCCATCCTGTTCAAAACACGCACGGGGGGGGTAATTCGAAAATTGCGGAGCTGGTGCTTACCAGAATCGGTGTCGAATTCGTCGCCCCCGCGGTTTTTCGAGGCAGGTTTTCCCGCTGCTGCTGCTTTGTTGAGCGCGGCCGAGTGAGAAAAGCTCTGATTACCAAGTGTCACAGGATCGAATGTGTCGAGGAAAGATTGCACTATCGATCAGTACAAGGCGCTTTTATACTTCCAGAGTACATCAGGTAACCAGGTTTATCTTATCCTAAGGGAATAGACCCTTCTAGAAAATAGAATCACCCTGCGTATAGCCACGCGAGGCTATTGGCTTTAAAGGATTACGGCAGGATTACGCTAGATATAGCGCACCAGTACATCCCAAGCCTGGTCGGTGATATAATTATAATAGCAGGATAAACCAAAGGTGAATGGAAAAGGGAAAATAGGAAACCAAATGAGATGAGATAAAAGAGAAATGAAAAGAGGAAGGAAGTAGAAAAAAGGTCAAGTGGTGTAACGGGGTCGTACTCTCACACCGCCGTGCGCTGCTACCGCCACCTCGATGACCTCTTCCGTCTCCGCTTCGGCCCCACGGCGGACCCCCCCGTCTGGTACAACCTAATGCGTCATCATGTGCCTGTCTTTGAGATGGACATGGATCATATTAGGTCTGCTTTGCATGCAATGTATGCCGATGACTCTAGTATGACTAAACCCTATTACCCGGTGTTGCCTCGCATAGGTGTGTCCCCTGTGTGTAGCCTAGGCTCCACTGCTGCGTCAGCCATAGGACCCCCTGCCTTGTTTAGTCTAGGCTCCATGATAGACCCTCCGCCGGTGGACGCTACTACTTCGCTCTCCTTCACGCTCGACTCTGGAGCGTCTGCTTGCATCTTCCGCGACCACACTGCGCTCACGTCGCTTGCCGCCCCTGCCGCTGTCACGCTTGCTGACCCCTCCTCAGGTCCACCAATTGCTCGTAGCTCCACCACCCTTCCCTGTCCGGCGATTCCCTCAGGTTCTCATCAGGCCCGCACATCCCCTCATTCTCCAGAAACCTAGTTGGTGTCGGCTATCAGCGTCACCACTACGTTCCCTGGACATGAGCGGTATGCGATTTGTACCGAGGCCGCCAATGGTGCTCCTCTGACCACGTTCCACCGGGACCCTGCGTCTGGCCTGCTTACGCTTGACAGTGCATCCCCCCCGGTGAGGGCGTCCCCCCAGGTGCTTGCATCGACCCTGGTCGCTGCGGATTGCTCGTGTCAGTCGCTCACTCACCCGTCGCTGCTGTGGCACCACCGCCTAGGTCACCCCGCACTCCCGCGTCTGCGTCTTCGGTCTTCCTGCATCGCTCCCTGCCCTTCTTCCCTCGCCTGCACTGCCGTGCACGCCTTGCGTCGAGGGCTGGCTGCGCTGTACTCCTCACTCCTCCTCTCTTCCCCCTACCAGTGCACCACTCCAGACTCTGCACCTGGACGTTTGGGGCCCAACCCCCATCCCTGGGCCGCTTCGAGAGAGCTACTTTCTAGTGCGTGGCAACAACTACACACGCTACACCACGGCGGAAGGCTGACGTGCCTGACGTTCTTATCCTGTGGGTCGTAGCTGCACGAGTCCACCGCAGCCTCCCTGTGTTGCGTCTCCACTCCAATCGTGGCAGCGAGTTTGCCTCCGGTCGACTTGGCCAATTCTGTCGTGCGGAGGGCATCACCCAGTCGTACACCCTCTGGGACTCCCCGCAACAGAATGGGGTCGCTGAGTGATGCATCGGTTTGGTCATGGAGGTGGCTCGTACCTCCATGGTCCATGCCGGTGCACCCCATTTTATGTGGCCGTTCACTATTCCCTACGCCGCTCACCAGCTTCACTCGTGGCCGCACTCCCAGCGGCCGCAGGTTTCGCCGACCCTTCTCTGGACCGGGTTCCTTGGTGACGCATCTGCGTTCCACGTCTCGGGTTGCCTTGCTTACGTTCGTGCCTCTGGCACGGACGAGCTCACTTCCCGCACTGTCCCCTGTGTCTTCCTTGGTTTCCACCTCGACGCGTCTAACTGACCCTTTTACCACCCACCATCTCATAGCTTCTTTCACTCCGGTGATGTCATTTTTGACCAGTTTGTCTCCTTCTACCACCTCTTTCCCCACTGAGGTCCCCCGGTTTCCCCGCCCCTATTTCTGGTTCCCACTTCCCCGGTAGCCCCTGCTCCTCTCCCTCCCCGGCCTGCTCCGTCTGGTGTGTCTCACGTCACTCCCCTACCATCGGTTGTCCCCGTGGAGGATTCGGATGACTCTCGTGGCCCCGCGGTGCCGTTCTCGCCACCTATCTCTGCCCCGGTGTCTCCTCCTTCACCGTCGTAGCAGCCGCCACCGTCGGCGTAACAGCAGCCGCCGCAGGGGTCCGCAAGCTCTAGGAGTGTGGGCGTTGAGGAGGGTGCTAGTCTTGGGGTTCCTGTCGTGGCTCGTCCCGGCGGTCCTGGGGGTGGCCCCGGTGTTGGAGAGGGTTCTCGCTCTAGGGGTGTTGGCATGGAGTGTCCCGAAGGTAGCGGTGGTGCAGTAGGAGGTCCTGGTAACAGCGTGGAGCAGAAGCAGCAGCAGCAGTAGTCACCACCGGTGTCCGCCCTTCGCCTCCTTGGTCTTCCCTCCCCTTACCACCCACCTGCGCGTCCCCGTCGCCGCCTCCCCTGCCTGTCTATGGCCCTGTGTTTCTGCCGTCGGACTCGTTTTCGGCTCGTTTCCCCCTCGTTCTCCTCATGTGTCTCCTCCCGTGTCTCCTGACCTGACGCCTCCATCCCACTTTTGGTCTCGCCGTCCCTTTCGTGCTCGTCCTTCTCTCCTGTTCAGCGCTCTCACCCCATGTTGCTCCGTTCCCACGCGTCTCGTCCTCCCCTCCTCCCGTCGCCTCCTCCGTCGTCGCTTGTTGTCCCTCCGCCTCCTCTGTCTGACCACCTTCGTGCCGCTAGTCATCTTGTTCCTCGGGTCCTTGCCTCCCTCGTTACCTACCCGTCTGTTCCTGTCTTGAGTCTTGACACTCTTGTCACAACCGTCGCTGACTTTGCCTCTACCCGCCGCCTTGACTACGCCACTGCTCTGGTCTCTGACCCTGCCTGTCCTCCGTCCATCTGGGGTGCTCGTGCCCTCGGCAGTAACATCTTGGAGGACCGGCAGTACGAGCTCACTTTCCTGTTCCAGGCCGCTCCTCATCTCTCCTCTATGCTGCTAGCCCCTGAGGAGGACCCAAACGCCTTTGACATCCCGACCCCTCGCACTTACGCTGAACGACCTCGGGACTCTGGGCCTCCCTGTGGATAGCTGCCATGGACGCGGACATGGCATCTTGGAGATCCACCGGCACCTACATCGACAAAGTTCCCCCACCTGGGGTGAACGTAGTCAATGGCCGGTGGCTCTACAAGGTGAAGCGCCCTCCTGGAGAGCCGCCGGTGTTCAAGTTGCGCTACGTTGCTAGAGGCTTCTTTCAGACCTTCGCCCCTGCTATATGTAGCAGCACAGCGTGACTACAAGCTGCACTCCCTCGACATCATTTCTTCATGGCAGTCTGCATGAGCAGGTCTACCTGTGTTCCCCGTCAGGCTTCACCGGCACCTTCGCCCCAGGAACCCAGTGGCTCCTTCGGCGCTTGGTTTACGGCCTGCAGCAGGCGCCGCGCGAGTGGCACAACATGCTTCATGCTACGTTAGCTGACCTGCAGTTCTTCCCTTCCTTTGCAGACCCTTCCCTCTTCATTCGTTCACGCCAGACTCCATTCTACATCCTAGTCTATGTAAATTACCTGGTCTTCGTTACTGCAGACAGAGACGCACAGGCCTCCGTGAAGGCCGAGCTGCTGAGGAGACACATCTGCACTAACCTAGGAGAGCCGCAACGCTATCTTGGCCTGCAGATCTCCAGGGACAGAGCAGCGCGCACCATCACTCTCACAGAATCACACTTGGTGTGTCCTTCAGAGGTTTGGTGTTCAGTTCTACTCCGCACAGCCCACACCTCTGCCAGTAGATCGTAGGCTCTCAGCTCCACTCCCCGAGGAGTTTGTAGAGCCTAATAGTCCGTACGCAGAGCTGGTGGGTTGCCTCATGTACCTGATGACTTGCACTCGTCCAAAATTTGCATACCCTCTCAGCATCCTTGCTCGCTTCATGGAGCCACGCAGACACCGGCCACAGCACTGGTCGGCAGCTAAGAGGGTTTTGCGTTATCTAGCAAGTACATCGAGCATGGGGCTAGTGCTAGGAGGACGCAGGCCAGTGGTCCTTATAGGGCACACAGACGTTTCGTGGGCTGACAATGCTGAGATGCTCAGGTCCTCTCAAGGCTACTGCTATAGCCTTGGTGCAGGCGCTGTCTTGTGGAGGTCCACCCGCTCGTCATCAGTTGCACAGTCTAGCTACGAGGGTGAGATCTACGCTGGTTCCATGGCGGCATAGGAGCTCCGCTGGATGACGTTCCTGCTCACAGACTTAGGTGAGTGGCCTTGCTCTTCCCCAGTCCTATACGCTGACAACAGGGCCATGATCCTCCTATGTCACGAGCCTCGACTGGAGGGCAGAGCAAAGCACATCCAGTTGCGGTACTTCCTCCTGCACAAGCTGCAGCAGTGACGCCATGCCCGTGTAGTTCACTTGGCCTCCGGTGCCAAGACAGCTGATACCTTTACTAAGGCGCTTGCGCCTAAAGATCATCAGCGACACTGTGTACAGCTTGGTCTAGTTCCAGTAGCTCCTCACTTGCTAGGAACTTGATGGTGTATTACTCTTATTATATTCTCCTGACTAGCCTTGTGGCTTTTGCTCCAGTGGCCGGACTACTAGTGCCGCCCTGGTTTGCTCTTGTCGTGTTTGTACTCTTCTGACTGGTCTTTAGT